GTCGAAGCGTAATAAAATTAACTCATATTTGGAACTATTTTTTAGAAAATTATATATATATATATATCCTTGTATATTTTCAGGCTCTTTCGTTTGTTCAAAGTTGCCTCTTTCATTCATCCTTTCAACCAGAATTTTTGGTAACAAGGCCTGATGTAAACAAACATTTAGATAGCAATAATGCTTTAATATATTTTTTTCTGAATGTGACAACCATTTAAGCATAAAAGGTTAAATAATAACCTGCTGTTGACGCTTCTTTTTCAGCTCAAGCAGAAACTGGCATTTAATTTAAAAACAAACAACTACAAATCAGTACTTTTGTTGCCACGTGGTTCTGACAACGTCACTTTTAGGAGTAGGCAATTGGGTTGTTAAGCCTAAACTAACCCACCAGGTCCTTTATATAGTTTGAAACATAGAAACGAATAGAAGCAATGGTGTTTTATCATTATGCACATCTTGAAGCTGCAATTAATTTTTTAAATAATTCGAAGTATTTGTTAGGAAAGTCACGCTTCCTATCTTTCAGTCTTTCTGTGGGTCATCGAAAATTTACAGAATTACAACGCTAAAATCCGGGGCTAGATTTTCCGCAGTAGACAGTGCTCAAATAGTCCACTTTGTAGCTTTGCGCAGAAACAACAATAGCCTCACTTTCACGATATCTTTAATCAATAGAAAGAAATACGAACTTTCCTATAGAAGATGAATAAATTCTCATCTGACTGTAACGTTTTCTCGTACTCTGACGAGGAAAAAATGATGAAGTCTTTATACCAAATTTTTCCCGAACAAAGAAAACCATTACACTGACTTAACTTTACATTAACAATATGTGTTGATTGTTGAATGACCGCTTGCAAAAATGTATTTACTATTTACTCAGTAGAGAACGAAAGAACTTTGCGGATAACGAGAGTTTTATTAATCAAACATTTACAACCAAGTCTAAATGCTACCTACCTCTTTTTCTTTTTTCCGATCCCTCTAGTGTTGTTTTTAAGCAGCTTCAGTATTATTGTTTTTTATGTCCTCTAGTAATTGTTTCGTATATTGCTAAACGTTAAATGATTTATTAATCGATCTTTGTTTGTTTTTGTTTTATATTAGAGCAAAGCCATATTGGGCTATCTGCTAGTGTCCATAGCGGGGAATCGAACCCCGGATGTTAACGTTGTAAGTCCATAGACTTACCGCTATCCCATCGGAGGACGATTTGTGTGTGTGTGTACAAATGGAATATTTAGGTTCTATTATAACATGCTGTCAATTTTTTAATGTAACTTAAAAGACAAAAATAGTAAAAAAAGCCATCGATATTCTGCTGCGCTCCAAATATGCATATTTAACCGAATCACTCGGCTAGCTTTGGTGAGTGACGTCTCGGGGGTCAAACGTATAAGAGAGTTGTCAATATAGACATTGACTTTAGTGTGAAGAAATGTAGTAATCATTTCTAAAAGTCAGTGGCAAAGTGTATATTGAGTGACTTATGAATGCACTAACAAAAGCAAAAAAAAAAAAAAGTTCAGGGATTAATTTCTCGGGGTGGGGGATTCTTTACGAATTAAATATATATAATAAATGGACTAAATTTACTCCAACCAAGTACAGCAGGGTATGTTCGGATCACTATGGGCTACCTTCACTCCAACCAAATATCACAACATACCATACCAATTATACTCTGTGGTAAAGATCTTTTAAAATCTAAAAACAGAAGAACAAGTGGAGACAAAACACTGAAATCACAATATGATCAGCACTGACACTTCACCAATAGAGTGCTAGTGCTCGGAGAGTTTATGAAGTATATTTATACCTGTTAAATAGAAACATTATTTGTAAATGACAGCCCACTTTTATTATTCTTTTTCTACCCCAATCTGAGAGTTTCACTTACTTTTTTTTCGAGTGTCTCTGAAATCATAAGTTGATAGTTACTGTTAGTTGCGTAGCTCAGCGGTAATCGGGTTACGGTGAGCACATCACAGTTAACCTGCTGTAGAGCTTTGCGCTTAAAGACAAATATACAAATATATTAGGGCCTGGCATGGCCTGATGGATAGGTCACTCGATTCGCGGGATCGAATCCCGTCTCTTAATATGTTCGTCCTTCTAAACATGGTAACGTTATAAGTGACGGTCAATCCCATTTTTCGTTGCCAAAGAGTAGCTCAAGAGTTAGTGGTGAGTGGTGTTGACTAGTTGAGTTCATTCTAGTCTATCACTTCAAAATTAGAAACGGCTAGCGCAGATGTCCATCAAGTAATTTTCGCAAAATTCTACAAAACTAGAAACTAGTTACTATTATTACTAATAATAATGTTAGGCATGGTAAAGTCGTCAGCCAAATGAATAACAATAATAAGGTCCGGTTAGATAATAACTTTGACCCATCAGCTAATCTAAAATTACAAACCCGGTACTTAATGGCTCCTTTTTTGTTTCTCAGATTCTTCTTATTTATACTAAACAGACTCCCGCTATCAGCTACTATATTGGTTCTATTCTTTTATACTTTTGTGTTGTTATTGTAAACACGTACGCCTATATACCCTACTTCATATTGAACAGTCAACGCTCAGTAATGGAAAGAAATTGTAGAGGTATTGAGTTATTTTATAAGATTACGGAAAGTTTGAGAGAAAGCATTTTGAAATCGTGATTGTTTTAAAGAAAAGTTTTTTTTGTTTGGTTTAAAGCAAAGCTACATTGGGCTATCTGCTGTATCCGCCGCGGGGAACGGAACCCCGAATTTTAGCGTTGTAACTCCGTAAAATTACCGTTGTCCCTCCGAGGTACTTAAAGAACAGAGAAAACACTAAAATACAGACACTCGATTAAATTTGTTTCTTTTATTATAACGAACTATGTAAAATTTCTACACAGTTTAGTCAAACTTTGGCGTTTGGAAAATTTAAACACATTTCTTTCTAATGGCTGAAATAAACTAAACTTAACTCTGAAGAAGGTAAGCCAATAATTCTGAAATTATAAACACAAACTACTTTCCAGTTATAATGCCCGTTTCACAAACAAGCAGTATGTCACCAAATGAGGTGGCCCACGAGAGCTGGTACGAGACTCTCATGAGATCTCAATTTAAAATCAACTCCCACGAAATGGCAAACATAAAGACAATTGGATATATAAGGAGTATGTCGAGGAAAGTAATAAAAAAATAGATACACATTTGGGTAACTTGCAAAACAATCTTTATATCGTAATGAGTGATAAGTGATGTTAATGGGAGGGTTTTTAATTTAATTTAAATCTTGAGGTATGCTGACGTTTCTAAAAAAACCATAGCGTGATATCCATAACTACCACGATCTCTATGATATCATTTTGATATATATAGTGAACAATCTGAAGACGTCTTTATAAAATCCTGTTTACAGAGCGTTCTATATGTAAATTGATATTACATGTTTTCATACACTGTTACACGTTCGATGCGTTAGCTCCCCCCCCCCCCCGGTGGCTCGCGGCATGTCTGTGAAATTATAACCGGGTTTCGATACTCGTGGTTGGCACAGTACAGAAAACCCATTGGGTAGCTTTGTGGGTTCTAGAACGATCGATAAGACTCTCAGGGTTGCGATTGGTCTAGAGAAATCTATAGCCAGCGGTTGTCAACATTTTAAGCATAGCAAAATGTGACCCGATTTCAATGAAAATGATTTACTTATGTAAAAGTACATATAACGTTTTGTAAAATATCTGTGCATGGTGGATAAATATGGATATCATTTTCGGATTCAGCGTACAGGAATTACTGTAGAACATGTAAAAATTCCAAGACAATAAAATCATCGCAGACCTGTATTATTGGCAGAGCTTGATGTAATTATGCAAAACAACAATAACAACATCTTATAAATTTAATTCTTTGCGATATAATATCAAATTCCAAAATTTTATGTTGATAATATGTAAAATAAGTTAAATACAGTGACTTTCAAAAAGAGCAGATGTTACAAAAAATATTGTATTGTTTGTTTGAAGTTAAGCATAAAGCTACACAATGGGTTATCTGTGCTCTGCCCACCACGGGTATCGAAACCCGGTTTCTAATGTTGTAAGTCCGCAGACACACATCTGTGCCATTGGGAGTCAAAAAAATTATTGTAACAATAAGTAATAAATATCCACACACAAAAAAACTAAAAATAGAACACTAATATTTTCTAATTTTTTAATAATGAATTTGTAAATTATTACCAAAGAAAGGAAAAGTTAATATTTTCTTAGTGATGTAATTTTATTAGAATCTACTTTATCTTTGTTAAATATTATTGAAACTTTCTTGTAAATGTTGGTAAACAACGCTTCTTAGTTTTAAATCTTGAAATAAAAGAAAATACACTACAAAAGCGGACAAACTGACAGTACATTAAAAATTAGGTAAACACTAAGTTAAGTATAGATAAAGGCTCAATTACCCTTTTAGAAAAATGTCCGTCTTTGCTTGCTACTAAAAACAATACTTTTGAGTCTTGATTTAGTTTGCTGTGAATTTCGCGCAAAGCTACACGAGGACTATCTGCGCTAGCCGTCCCTAATTTAGCAGGGAAGGCTAAATCACCATCCACCAACTCTTGGGCTACTCTTTTACCAACGAATAGTGGGATTGACCGTCACATTATGAAGCTGAAAGAGCGAGCATGTTTGGTGGGACGGGGATTCAAACCCGTGACCCGCAAGTTGTGAATCAAGCGTCCTAACCACTTGGCCATGATGTGCCAGTCTTCATTTAATCTCAAACTTAAACTAAGTACTATAACAAACAACAATGGAATTTACTGTGTACTAAATCAAAAACAAAGGCCTGTAACTCCAGTTATATGCATTTCGACCTCGCTTGCTGCTCCTGAAAATGTCTTAATTAACTCAAAGTTGAGCAGTTGTTTCTCCTGGAGTTAAAGGCCATGTATTTGTTTCAATACGTGTTCAATACTCCAGTTAGTCCCAATAAACTTCACCTTGAACTTGCAACCAATATCTCTGAAAACACAATAAAGCGCTACAGATGGACAGTGGTCCTTCAGATGGACTTCCATGTCTTCTCTGGGGACCTTCGATGATTCACAGCGGTTAGGACATGGCAGTGGATACCTGGGACATTTGGCTGTGTGGTTCTGTAAATAGGAAGATCACGATGAAACAAACACGTTTGAATATCTACAGTTTACATCGTTGATAATGGCGTAGAATTAATTACAGTTTCACCACATTACAAAAAGCTTAAAAACTACTTCAATCCTGTTGGGTACTAAAGTGGTTTAACTTGTTAATCAACAATGAAATTTACTTGTCCATCTGAAAAAAAAAGTTAAATAACATTAATTTCCGATCAGAGTCAGTTATGTATTTAAAGCGAAACTAAAAATAAATTAAACCATTAGTATAAAACTGTGTAAGAAATTGTTTTTTTCTTTTTCAAAACTATTAATATAGTTAATTAACTATTTATAAAAATTAGAATTCATTGTTTTTCCAGTTGGGTACTTTCGCAATTAACAATATTTTCGGCCTCCGAAAATCAATCTTTCCCCTTCCCCAGATCTAATTCTTTAGTCAACAAACAGTTTTTTACTCGTTCTCGAGGAATTTACTGTAAATAAAGATATAAGAAATACATTATCGGCTACATAATACTTCGATCCAAAATCAGAGATAGTTGAGATGTAAAAACACATTGTCGACGACATAATACTTCCATTCAAAATCAGATATTGTTGGGATGTAAAAACACATTGTCTACTACATAACACTTCCATTCAAAATCAGATATTGTTGGGATGTAAAAACACATTGTCTACTACATAACACTTCCATTCAAAATCAGATATTGTTGGGATGTAAAAACACATTGTCTACTACATAACACTTCCATTCAAAATCAGATATTGTTGGGATGTAAAAACACATTGTCTACTACATAACACCTCCATTCAAAATCAGATATTGTTGGGATGTAAAAACACATTGTCTACTACATAACACTTCCATTCAAAATCAGATATTGTTGGGATGTAAAAACAATTGTCGGCTATACAGTTCTCATTAAGATTAATATGTAATTCGAAGAACAAGTAAATAGTTATTAAACGTGAAAAGCCTTTCTAATTAAAACTGCTATTTGTTATAGGTAACGTGATTTTTATATCAATTCATTATGAACGTATTAGTATTCATTATTAATTAAATACCTGAAAAATAAAAATGGATAACTGTTTGTCTGTTAATAAAAAAGGCACTTTAATTTAAGGTTTTTCATGAAGAATAAAAACATAATTATTGGCCGGATATGATAATTATATACAATACTCAGACAATGGCCATAACCACAGATTGCACAGATTGGTTCATTTTGAAATTTTGTAGCAATGAAAACAATGTGTTCAAGTAAGAAAACACTTTCATCATATTAGATTATTAATCTAAATATTTCCACAACTCGAAGTGCATTTTTTTTATAAAACAAAAATGTTTCTCAGTTTTAATATATTCAAGCGGTGTAGTTGAGGGTAAACTTTTTCTATATCTCATTTGAGGATTATTGTGCTTACTCAATTTTCGTTTAACCCTTAATGCCTACCATGTCACTGCCTGACCTGGACCCCAACCACTAAAAAAAGGTGGCATTACCAATTCTTGTTTTTATCACTACAGCATTAACTTAATATTCTTAAGTGATTCAATTATTAAGCACCATCTATTGAGATACTTTAATTACAAACTTAGCAATAAGACTTATTTAAAATAGTTATCATCAACAGTTGATTCCTCTAAAATTTAGCATTTAAACAGTACATATACTAGATCTTAGTTAACTAAATGAAAATTAATTGCTTGGTGTAAAACGTGATGCGACAGCTTTAATTAATCAGATTCTGGTATAGGCCTACGTAAACAGATCTGAAACTTTCAGCCATAAAGAATTTATTTTTGAATGTAAAAATGGATCGATATAAATAATGCATTATTACAAGATACCATGTTATTTTGATAATATAAACACACACAAAAATATTGTAATGACAACTTTAGTAAATGTTCTAGACCACAAGGAAAATTATAAAAACTCTAACCTGTAACGTATCATAAACAAACTCCTTTTGGCAATATCGACAACCCACTAGCCTCTTGGAGCATTCGCTCATTTGGTGACTAGAGACAAATCTTCGTAGAATCTTCAGCCCACATTTATTCTCACAAAATACTGGCTCATACTGGCAGCTACTCACGTGCCCCTAAAAGATCGGTTATCAACAGAGATATTATTTTATTTAGTTGTTGTCATCAGACATAATTTCTCGTGTACTGGTTACGTTCTTACTGTTACTGACGGCTGTTGATAACAACATAGATGGTGGGTAAATTATCTTTCATGATTATATGATCTATGCTCAAATATTTAATAAAGTAAGTTATAGTTATGTTAGAAAAATGGAACAAACTTACAATTTAAAAAGAGATTAAGCTATTTATTTTGGATTACACTTGTTTTTCCATTTGCAATACTTATTGTACGGTTTTGTTATTTTTTACCTGCATAATCATGAGTTTTCGCTGTACTATGTGTACCGTCCTGTTACCAGACTCCAGAGACGTCGCTAGGTGCTTAAAATATTCGGGGCTCGGACCAATAGGCATAGGATTCATAGCACGGGCCCCGTATGCCTGTGTCTAGTGACCCTTCTTCCAGACTCTGTAGTTATCAGTAACATGGTTTGCTCTTTTATCTTAGATTTTAATCTATGCCATACATGGTTACCCTGTCAGAGCCATTAAATGAGTTTTCATCGGTAACTAAACGTTGTTATGGAGGATTATCTAGAGTTTTGCATTTACTGGTGTCACATTTTGGTCTTATAGAACTTTTTGACTCATAAGTTTTATACACACATTATAGTTTATCCTGACTAAATCAGATACATTCAAGTGGAAACATTACATTTTAGTCCTGACTAAATCACATACATTCAAGTGGAAACATTACATTTTAGTCCTGACTAAATCACATACATTCAAGTGGAAACATTACATTTTAGTCCTGACTAAATCACATACATTCAAGTGGAAACATTACATTTTAGTCCTGACTAAATCACATACATTCAAGTGGAAACATTACATTTTAGTCCTGACTAAATCACATACATTCAAGTGGAAACATTACATTTTAGTCGTTACTTAATCAGACACAGTATAAGGAGAAACATTACAGTTTATCCTGACTAAATCAGATTTGAGTTGGTTATATGAGCCAAAAGAATGTCAGAATTAACACCACCTTGAACTTGCAACACATATTTCTGAAAGTACAATGAAGCATTACAGATTGATAGTGGTCCTTCAGGTGGACTTCCATGTCTTCTCTGCGGACCTTCGATGATTTACAGTAGATAAGACATGACATGGGAAACTTTTAAATAATTTAAAACAACATGCATCGTTCCAAGAGACATAACGACATAAAAAATTCTTATGTGGCCCTAAGTACAACTAAACTACAAATATTATTAGAAATTGTTTTCTAATTGAAATCTGAACAAGAAAAGTTTATCTAGAAATATTATGTAGGGCTAATCTTTAAAACTAAAAAATAACGAAAACACTGATATTCTTCCTCCTTAGACTGCATTAACATCTACCTTTACATCTCATTAATGTGAAACTAATCTGCACAATATGTTTTTTTTTTATTTAAAGTGTCAATATTAAGTCGTGTTGTGATTAAATTGCATCTGTATAATACTATGTTATCCGTCTACGTGGGGCCCGGCAT